TCAGATCTTCAAAGGCCTGTGTGGGGCCCAGATGCTGTAAAGTATGGAATTCAGTGACTTTTTCTGACATGCATTTCTTGGCCTGGCTCTGAGCCAAGAGGATCTGCCTGTGACTGCTGCAGGAGCCAAGTCCCCCAAGCATGGAAGTAGGGTGTCGCCAGCACCTGTCATCAAAGCCCCTGGAAGCATCTGAGTCCTGGGTTGTGCTCTGGAGTCTGTCTGAGACCCTGGAATTCTGTCCCGTACCTCCAACATGTACCACTGCCCTGGAAACTGTCCAGTAAAGGCCAAGGTCAACTGGGGGTGGAAGGCTCCAGACGGTTTCTTCCAGGAATGAGTCCCAGAAAATGCACCCAGCTCTCCCTCCCTCTCCATCCTGTCCCTCGGTCCCCTCCCTCTCAGCCTGAGTAGATGGGCCCCTGGCCCCCTGACCCCACAGCCAGGCTCTTGCCCCATCCCACCACCACTGTGTTTCTGCTTAGCACTCAGTCATGTCACCACCAAGCCCGTAATGAGCGTCAGCACCAGATTTACGAGCTCATTCAGGCTCTGTGTCTGCCACACCAAGGTGTTTCCAGAAGGCCTGCCTCCTCTTTCCGTCACAAGAATGGACTTTCTGTTTCAGCTGGCTGCTTGTGAATGTCATAAATCACAACCATTGTGTGTGTTTGCACATGTGTGTGCCTCTGTGTATCTGTGTGTGTATGTATATGTGTGTGTGTGTGTGTGTGTATATATATATATATATATATATATATATATATATATATGTTTCTTCATGTTAGTGTGTGTGCCCAGGTATGTGTGCAGGTGTGGAGGGAGGGAAAGGGAGACATGTGCAATGGTGCTGTCCAGCTTCAGGACCAGGCCTGTCTCCAGCCAGCTCCGAGCTGTCAGGCAGATACCCAAAATCCTGCAGCCACAGGGCACAGGCCAACAAGGTGACTCCCAGGCCTTGTTCCCTCCTGCAGGCTGGGAATCCATTAGGTGAGCTGACGACAGATGCCTCTGCCTTCTGGCCTGCACACACATCCTGGACAGAGCCAACTGCTGGCCATGCCCCTTAAATGTAAAAGAGCCAACCCAGCAGAGAGCCACAAATTAGAAGTACAGGAAACCTCAAATGATGTGCAAAAAAAATTGTCAAGGTTAAGAGGATTTTTCTACCCCTTTGCTCCTTAATTCAGCATTTCTGATGAGGGTGATGGAGGAGCTAGGGGAGCTGGCAGGGGACATGGGCTGGGAGGCCAAGTAGGGCCAAGCAGGCAGAAGGGTAGCTTCCTTTGGCCATTCTGGGTTTCCATAGGCTCAACCCCAGCAACCCCAGAGCCAGGATTTTGAGTGGCAACTAGGCAGGGAACTGGACTGCAAATCTGGATAGAGGTTCAGTTCCACAGCCACAACTGAACCAACCAAGAGGACACCAGCTCCTTCCTTCTCGCTTCTGGCTTGTTCGTGTCTCCTGTGTGAACAGAGCCAAACACATGAGCCTTCATTTTCTGGCCTCCTGTGAGGTTTCCAGATGTCCCTGGAACTGTCACAACTATACAACTCCCACCAAAGCTTAGCTCCCAAGGCCAGAAAGGCTGGGCGGATGCTATTGCCTCCAGCAACAGGTCTTTAGAACTTGCTGGCCTAGTGCTGCCAGGAACATGTGTTCAGCTGCTGGTGGCTGTAGGCCTGACACCACCCCCGCCCCCGAGTCTTCCTCCTAGCACCAACCCCCAGGGCCCAGAAAATTCTGGTTAGAGGTCCAGTGGGAAGCCTGGGTCCTCTGAGTTAGAGGGGCGATAGGGCTCCACCACAATGAGGATGGCAAAGCCTAGCTTGAGAGGCAGCAGTGGCAGTGACCTGGGCTTAAACCAGCCCTTCTGAGCATGTAGAATTACACCCCTTCCCCTGGTGTGTCCACCAATGTTCAGGTAGCTTGTACTGCCTTCCCCAGGAAGGGCAGGTTAGTGTTCACGGGACACCCCTCAGACACAGAGAATAAGAAGGGATAATGGGCCCACAGTGCCCACACTGGAGAAGGGAACTCCCTCAAGTCTTTAGGGGCCACCAGGAAGTTAAGCATCCAGAGGGTCAGGGGCTAGAACTGCTTGGAAGCTTAGGCAGGTCATAGGCTGGGTGGGGTCAGTGGCTACCTGGGGTCACCTTCTTATTAGGGATAATTTGTCTTTTCCCAAAATATACAAGCTTTAAGCTTCCCACCTTGTGCTTGTGAGTTCATGTGTAGGTGTTCACACACACACACACACACACACACACGCACACACACACACACGACGCACACACACGCACACACACACACGTACACACACACGCACATACACGCACACACACACGCACACGCACACACACACGCACACACATACACACGCATACACACACACGTACACACACACGCACACGCACACGCACGCGCACGCGCACACACACACACACACGCACACACACACACGCACACACACACGCACACACACACACACGCACACACGCACACGCACACGCACACACGCACACACACACACACGCACACACATACACACGCACACACATACACACGCACACACGTACACACACACGCACACACGCACACGCACACGCACGCACACACGCACACACACACACGCACACACACACGCACACACACACGCACACACACACACACGCACACACACACGCACACACATACACACATACTGGCCCATATACATGTATGTAAAGATCCTTGTATATCCACATCTGCATATGTATAGATGTATTCACATTGTACACAACATGCCATAGGGTTGCATAACTATATATATATATGTATGTATGTATATACCAATCAGCATGTGCATACATATACATACCTTTGTATGCACACATACCAGCACACATGTATAGCCATATGTACATGAATTTGTGCAAGCTGGTTGTCAGCAAGCTCCCAAGTACTTTACATAGTTGCTACTAGCTAGTTTGTAAAGTGGATTGTTCTTGGGAAGTTAGGCCTCAACTCTGGGAAGTCACTAGCCAGACCCCAGGACAGTCCCGAGGACAGGACTGTATGAAACTGTGGTCATTCACATCACCACTTACTGTTCCCTAGCCTCTGCAGCATAAAGGAGGAAACACCACAGAAAGTGAGAGACAGAGATGCACACAGAGTGAGGGACAGGGAATCGGAGGCACCTAGTACCCAGCACCATCTCCACAGAGCTGTGCTGGGCAGGGACCCATCCTCTGCTGACAGGGTGAGAAGGGGGTTCACTGGTCTTGGCAGCTGGCCTCTCTCCCTCCCTACATCTCAAGAGGGGGCTGGGCTGCCTCAGCAGGTAAAGGTGCCACCCGAGGGCAGTCCCTGCAAGTCCTGCTGCCTCCGCAGTTGGGAGAGGAGGGTGTGACACCTGGAGACGAGGACTCCTCATGTGGGCCTGGTGGCCTTGGGCCTGCTGGGGAGACCTGTCTCCTGACCATCAACTCCCATGGACTCCGCACATGGCCAAGACTCCCTAGGCTCAGAGGGGACTATAGGACGGAGCATGAGCTCCTGGCTTTACCAACAGTGTGCCACCCCTCCCCCACCCCATGCTTGAGAGGAAAGTCAGAACCCTAGAGTGGAGAGTTCAGGCTCTGCAAGGTGCGCTGTGCTCCCCCCACCACCTGCACTGAGGGTGTCCCCGCCCCTACACCTTCCTCAGACACGTAGCTTGAGGGTGCTTCGTGGCCTGACCCACAGCCAACCTAGAGTGGTCGGGCCTCTTGGCCAACTCTAGGGAGAGAGGGAGCATGAGGACCAGTGTTTGGAGGACTAAGCCACGTACCCCAAGTCTCTGCTTGATGGAGCCAGGACCCCCAAAGTAGCTCTGTTTCCACTGCTGCTGCCTTATTAATAAGAGAAGATCCCAGAGAATCCACTGACTGCCTGATGGGGCTGGAGAGGCCCCCTGAAGCAGGCATGTCGGTGTACGACAAGAGTCCCAGACCCCAGGGCCATGGCCCTCTGACCTGGACAAACTCCTGCCCATGTAGCCCTCCCCTGTCTAGCTAACATGTCTGGACATCCCTGACCACCTGGGCATCCCTGCCCCAGGTCACACTTGCTCACTTAGCCTCAAAGTCTACACTTGTAACCTCGATGCGGCAGTGCCCACAGACAGTGCCCACCAGTCTCCCTTCTGCCCTCCTGTCTTTTGTGTGCCCAGTCAGCCACCCCGGGTGACATTGGCTTCCAAGGCTCTGGATTAGACTCTACCATGGGCACTGAGCAGAGTGGGCAGGAGCTGGAAGGTTGGCTTATACCTGTGGCTGCCAGTTCATGGTCTGGCAGCCAGCTTTCCTTGCAAACAACCCCTCGAGAGGGGAGGGGAACTTAGATCAGGAAAGAAGTCTCAGAGCAGAATTCAAACTGAGGGAAGTAGCAATGACAAAGTAAAGCGAGGGCCAGGCTGACCCGTGCCGGGGGCGAGAAGCCGGGCATCTGCGTGCTGGCCGGCCTCAAACTGAGACTTGCCAGTTTTAAGGAGACAAAATCTTTTTTCCTGACATTCAGTATGTGCAAGCTAACAGGAGCACACACACACAGGTACATGTGTGCACACTGGCATACCCAGGCACATGCACACTCAGACTCAGGTGCAACTGCATACCCTGTTGACACGTTACCTCCTTCACAAACACTTTTTCTAGCCCAGCACCCCACTGTCCTCAGCAGAGGGCTCTGTGTCAGATGCAGAAGCTCTACTTTCTCACACCTGGGACAGCATGCTGCGAGGTTTTGCAACATTGGAAACTCATTGCCCGGCCTGGCTGTGATCTGCTTGGTGAGAACAGAAAAGTCCACCCCTTCCTCTCCATCTAGCTCCCGGCACAGGTGAGCTGGGTGGCCTGTCCGATGCCCAGGCTGGCTGAGGTCCCAGTCCACTTGCCATCCTGCCTGAGGTTCTGAGGCCAGCGCATCATCATACTGTAGCGCACAGGGCACCGCTGACTTTGACTCACTTCTTCCTCAGCAGATCTCTGAAGACCTGGGCAGTGAGAAGTTCTGCGTGGAGGCTAACCAGGCAGGGGCTAGCAGTTGGCTCAAATACATCCGTGTGGCATGCTCTTGCAATGACCAAAACCTCACCATGTGTCAAATCAACGAGCAGGTAAGTCCAGTATCACTAGGACTTCTGTCTGTCCAAACTGTCCTTGCAAACAGTGCACCGAGGTGAATGGGTGTCCAGATGAGGGCCAACTGAGGTCTGGAAAGGTTGAGGGTCATCTGCCAAACTCCGCCATGCCATACAGGTGACCATTTGACACCTGCCCAGCGTGGGCTTCCTGGGGAGCTTAACTGCCCCAGGACACCCCACCAAAGCAAAGAAAGATCAGGAGACCTTGTCTGAGGCCAATGGCACTTGAGAGGTGAAAGATGTAGGACAGGAACAGGAAAGACACCCCCCCCCAAGCCATCCATGTTCCCCGTAAGTGCCAGGAGACAGGGAGGAATAGAGGGCAGGAGCTAGCGGGAAGAAGGCCTGTCCAAACAGCCCTGGTCAACCAAGGTTTCCGAAGAGTCAGCGCTGGCCTGCCGAGAGCTCTGCAGGTGCTCCCTACCTTGCGGCGAAATGCCCAGAGCCCTCAAGTCAAAACTGCAGCCTGACCTGTACCAGGGACACCACCTTGCTTTGGCATGGCCTCCCTTCTCTCTAGGAGCGAACTGAGCTGGGCAGTCCCGACTTCAGCCTCAGTTTCCTCAAAGACTGAGGGACCCCTGGCTCTGAGCTCAGCTTCTCAGGGCAAGAACCCCGCTAAACTCACTGACTCCTCCAGTTCCATGACTTGTCACCACCACCTCCAGGGCAGGAGTCCAGACCCGCGAGCCCGTCAGAAGAAAACACATAGTTTCTTTCCACTCTGCTAGGCACCACGTCTCCAGTGCTGGCCACCACTCTGTCCTCTTTTTATAGCTGCACATTCTCAGGGGACCCTTCAGACGCTCCCAACTCCAGCCAAGCCCTAGTAGCAATCTTCACCCCAAGTTCCCAGAGCTCTGGTTCCTCTGTGTGCCATCTTCCAGCCCTTCCAGTAGAGAAATTACTTCTTTTGGTATCTGGGGGCTACATGTGAGATTTAATTGCAAAAAAAAGAATCCTTTTAATTTATGCTTTTAACACCCTTGGTGAAGACCATAGAACAAAGACTGC